CGTGAGCCCTGTTATGCGTATATTCTTAGGGGTCTCAGGGCTCATGTCTTAATGCACATAGTTTTGTTTGGCAGAAATACGTCCATTTATAGCCTATAGGTTGGACTGTAAATTTTTGAACAAAAAAATCTCTTATCAACACCGATTTATGATTTCTTCAATTCATCTTCCTTAAAAAGTACAATTTTACACACCGACGGTGCGACTGCAGAAACGTGTATCTAATCAGTTTTCTATGCTGCAGGTTTCCTAGCATAATTTATCTTCTCAATGGAAGAATTCCCGACGTCATTCCTTGAAAACTTCCTTGAATTTTCTTTCCAGCGTGAAAAATATTCTGTGAAAATTTTACGCAAGGGTACAGTTTCTCCTTCTTTGATAAAAGAAAATGAACGCGGGAATGTTTAAACATCGCAAACGCTAGGAACGCGATTTTGCAGTTTCACTCAGGGTTGCCACAGAATTTAAAAAATACAATTCCCTGACATTTCCCCGACACATTTTGGCGAAATTCCCTGACAATTGAAGATGTGACGGATGGTTAAAAAGACATAATTTAAAATAGTTTTCAGACAAAATTTGTTGTTCGCAACCTCAAGCCCGTTCTAGAAAGCAAATGAGGGTGATTTAACACATTTTTTTCTCCTCATTTAAATGACAGGAACCACCTCAAAGATAAATGCATACTACTACTGCCTTCATTCTTAAAAACATTTCATTCATGAATCAAGTCATGAAAGAGAACAGACTCTAAGAGCAGATAAAAACATAGGTTCATGAGTACACTGTACGGATATGATAAGATGAAAACCAAACCGGGAGCCTAGGAAACGCTTCAATGCCTAAACATTTTTCAGTAACAGATGCAGTCAAAATTGAAAGTCCTCTTTGACTAGTTATTTCGTGCGCCTCCAATTTTGTAGGATACTGTGCAACGCCTCTGACGCGAAATAGTTGCTTAAAGTGTTGCGGCGCGGCAGGAAACCAGCGTGACACGCGCATAGGCGCCTACAAACCTAACAGGATACTTCACGCGTTGCGCAATGCGTGAAGTATCCCGTTAGGTTTGTAGGCGCCAGTGCGCGTTCTGCGCTGCTAACACGCCGCTCCGCTCTGTGTTGGGCTCTAATATTTAAACGCGCGGAGTCAGCATTTTTCAACTCATGATTTTGAAATGTTTGCACTCTTTGCATTGATTATTTCCTTTTAAACTGATGAAAAAGTACTACTATTAAGTAGTATTGCACTACTGGAAAACATAATGTGTTTTTGTAACTATAATAGTGGTTCCGTATCAAATTTAATGCTTTCCTAAGCATTCAAATTTGTTCTTATATGTTTTGGGCTTTTACTGTGCTGCAGCGTGGTGTAAGCTAAGTACGTAAGTAAGTAAGTTATTTGACTCAAGGAGGTCGATGCACAAATAAGTTAAAAACGAAAAATTGCGTGCTTCTTAGTTTTTTTCCTCTTTTATTGATTTTTGTACAGCTTCTTTCATCACAATTAAGGCTCATTGAGATTCATATCGATGTCATTGCTTGGAAAAGGTTTTACAAATATTTACCACGTTTTAAAAATGTAAATATTTTTAAAATGAAGTAATCAATTTCATTAAAAAAAAGAATGTACATTTAAGGCATATTTTACATCGGAAATTTCAAGGATAGAAATGAAACCAAGTATTTACCAAAGACAATTTGAAAAGATGAATCAAAAGAAGAAATTAACATTTCATTTAAAATACGAGTCACGATAACAACTCCTCATTCTCTCTTAATTTTCTCATTTCGATATTCACAATATAATTTTACACACGGACTAAAATATGACGCTTGCATTTGATTTTAGTGGACTTTACATTTGTGGACTTAAGTTAGTGGACGTTTAAGTAATGGACTTAACAATAGTGTGGGCTTTAGAACTGTGGAAGTAAAAATTGTGGATGTAAAAAAAGTGGACATAAAGTCCGTGTACCATCCGCTCCCTGATATTTCTCTGATGTTCGCGGAAAATTCGTTTACGAAAACCCATGATTATTCCCGTTTTGGTCAAGACTCTCGGGGGGAGGGCGAAATTTCTCTCCAAAGTTAAAGAAAAACTCGATCATTTCATCCATCGATTCTTTAAAAAACAAAATTGATATCAAGGCGGTCAGGGAAGTATTTTTCTAGTGTTTAGCACCAATTTCCTTACAAATTCCCTGGTTCTCTCCGATGTTATTCATTCTTTAGTAGATCCTGGTTTCCCTAAGCTCTTTATATTCATTTTTGGGGGAAAAAGACCCTTTTCGGGAGGAAAAAGACCCTTTTCTGGGAGGCTCTCCCCCAATTCTTCCACGACTCTTGGCGGTTGAGCATTATTCATTTCCTAATGAATCCTGGTTTTTCAAAGCCCTTTACATCCCTTTTCTGGAGGGAAAAAGACCCAATTGGGAGGCTCTTTTCTAATTATTCCACGCCTTTTGGCGGTAGAGAAAAATTTCCTGCATTTCCCCGGACCTGGTCAAGAACTTGTTACCCCTGCGAAACAAAGTAGGAATTTACCCAATTCGTGTTCGCTCTCAGCATCCTCTATGATGGTCTCCATGGCCAGCTGAATCACGCACTAACACAAGCGACAACCCATGGATCATGGTCCTGCACACACATCTCGGATGCACGCGAATATTTTACACACACAGATATTTCATCACGTTCCATTGCACTCACACACACGGCGGCGGGTCGGGTGTTCCGTCAACGCGCGATGGATTCGGGGCGGCTCAGCCGAGCCAACATTTCGTAAACATTCTGCGAGCGGAATCGGAAATAAATAAATAAAGACATAACCTCAAAAGCGGGGGCGCGAGAGTTGCCGAGCGGAGCGGGCAGCACAGCACGCTAGACCGCGCGATTATCACTGATAACCGCCGGCCAAGCTCAAAGTTGAGTCGGGCTCTGTGCTTTCGAGCGAGCCGCCTTTTCTCGAAAGCTCGCCCGAGTGCAGCACCTGTCGACGCCGCCGTTTCCCACTGATTTAGTGCCGCTCCGCTCCGGCAGTCCCTCCCAAACACAGTCGCTTCCCTCCCAAACACAGTCGCTTCCCTCCCATGTTACACGACCTGTGTTCCAAACTCACCTTAGAATTTCAGGAGCCATCTCCCCCATCAAGCTCAATTTTTTGCGGCCATTCAACTTTGACTTTTTTTTGTGAAAAATTAACTTTTTGTCAACATATCACGGCGCATTTTGGACAGTATTTCACGGACAGCCATTGTCACACGCGTACTAGCGTACTTTAAAAAATCTGAACATATTAAATAATGTAAAATTCTATCAGGTGCTGTGAATTTTGAACACATTAATTCTACGATCTTGAGCAACAGCAACAGTACCATACTAGTTCCTCTACTAGGACATTTAAAGTTTTAAAAATCTCTTCAGAAAAGGAAATCTGGCAGATTCTTAGAAATATTTGTTGAATAAATAAAAAAAAATACACACACGCATTCAGAATTAGAATTTTAAAATATTAAATTTCAGTTGGTGGAGCAAGAGAAGGGCGAAAGACAAGCATGCAAGGTGCAGAGTTCCAGCGATAATACGGTGTAAAAATAACTCTGAAATCGCAATGCATAATTTCTTAGGTTTTCAGTGCATCTATTCATTATTTTTAAGACTTTGAATTAACTGGAAGCAACTGTTGACGTATATGCTTCTCCAGGTGAATCCATCTCATTTGTGTACATCGAATGATGATCCTCAAGTTTCGTCACTAATTGACGGGGGTCAGAGAATTGCTGAAAACGTTGATAACTAAGAGCTCTGATAAGTTCAATCACTGAAGGATGTACTATCATTCTAAGCTTTGGGGATGAAATATTGAAAAAGTTCCTCTTAAATTTTTGCAAAAAATACTTGACTTCTCGTAATAGTTTGTGCAAACAACGAACATTACACCCACTCATGCAGTCATGTTAAGAAAGTCTCATATATTTCTGACATTCTATAGAGAAAATAAACGGACGTACAAATTATGTACCTTTGCTCTTCCTTCAAAATGCACTCACCGTGCAAGGTGCCAACACAAACTTCATGCAACCAAAATGAAACAAGATTCAAGGATTCTTGAAGTCTATTGCGAAGTTTTTTTCTGGACTTGCTACCGACAAGGACTTTTTCAGACTTTTCGAAACATATTTTAAAGACACTTTGGAACTTTCACTGCCAAAACATTTGTCCCGAAAAAGTTGTGTGACAGGTCAATAATGTGTACGAAATATTGAAAATCCATCCAAGGATAAACTGAAATCTAGTAAAAATCCACTAAATCCAAAAGATTACTTGAGATGCCGGTTAAAGGGAAAACATTGCGTACAACAGAATTTTTTCCCCAGACGAGAGAAGACCATGGAAATAATTCAGGTTATATTCCAAAGTTTGGATCTTACAAGTGCTTTTGGAAATTTTCCAGCAAATAAAGGATCTTCAAGGACTTGTAAATTATTTTAAAAAAACAAACCGGGGACAGTCACGAGATTTTAAACCCTGCACAAACTTTTTCAACGGGTTGGTTCTGGCAGAGGGTTTGAAAAGATTCAACTACCCCCCGAGGAGAGGAAAATTTATAATGGTACTATTGAGATCAAAGAATGCTGATGGTATTTGAGATAGCAACTAATATTGATATGGAAACCACAGAGTTAATGAATTTTAACTCTGAGGGCAGTTGATACAAATAAAATTCGACCAAAAGGTAATTCAAGTTACAAGACTCGAACAAATGGGGAAGCGCGTGCAAAAAATCTTGTAGCCAAAGAAACAACATCATGATTAATCTGTAAAATTCCAAGAACAGCAATGCATCGAATGGAAAAAATAGAAAAAATGAAAATTTGGGAGCCTATACCGCTCAAAGTAACGAGAGAATAGGATAGACAAAGAGAGAGAAAGAGAGATCAGGACAGAAAGAATGATAGAGTCATGCAATTTCAATCAAGAGACATGGATTGCATGACTTACTGATTTCAGCTGTTTCCACAGGTAACAAGCATAAATAGAAAAAAAAAATGTTGAAAATAGAACCGAATTTTTAAAACAAACTATTGGAGTGATCTAATGGGGTTTCAGAATTAAACTTTCATGGATAGAGATTGAGCGCAGCACACCTTATTTAACGAGGCCACGAGAATTGTAAATGGAAGACCAGTCTAGGACAGAGGATAATAGATAAGCATTTTTGACTGCTGTTTAAAGTGATTTTCACTAAACGTACTTAGTGCCTATTCCACAAATTAATCCCTTCAACCAAATAGTGTAGGTCACGTAAAATGGGAGAATTCATAAGCACCTATATACACTCACGTGAGCATGAGTTCCGAGATTATAAGTTTTGACTTTCAAATGGACATATTTCTACCAAAGAGACCTATGTGGAGGTGAGAAATATGGGGTGTGCTCTAGAAATCTGCATAAGAAACAATGTAAAAGTGGGCGTGGTTCCTTTTGAAGAATTGGAAAAGCGGGATATTGCATTCTATCAAATAGACCTATGTGTCAACTGGATGCGGAACTCATGAGCCGCGGGCATGGCAAGAAAGCGTTGTGGACAGGGCTCATGAGTTACAGCGCCCCGACGATGATCCCCGGCTCGTGCTCGGTCTCCTTCATTGCCGCTGACGTCACTGGCGCTTTATTATTCTCATTCACTCGCCACGCAAGAGAACTAACGAGCACACCCCATATTTCTCACTTCCACATAGGTCTGTTTGGTAGAAATACGTCCAAATGATTTATAGTGTTTTTTCCTTCCTTTCTTATACAGAGAAAATAATACAGATGAACGTATTTCTGCTAAACGGAACCAGAGGCAGATGGAAAAGAAGGGGTATTCTCGTTAGTTAAGGGTCGTAAGAATGAGTGGAAATTATTAGACGCCAGTGACGTCAGCATCGACGACCGGGCTTGACGAGCCCAATGATGCCGCATTAACTCATGAGCCCTGTCCACAACGCTCTTTTGCCATGCCCACGGCTCATGAGTGCCGCATACAGTTGGCGCTTAGTTCCGTTTCGTAGAATGTAAAATCCCGCTTTTCCATTTCATCAAAGGGACTTGCGCCCTCTTTTACATTGTTTCTTATGCAGCTCACCTTGAGCACACCCCATCTTTTCCACACGCCTCTGGCTCCATTCAGCAAAAATACGTCCAGATTATGCTTAAGGTAGATTAGTTTTAATATTTTAACTGAAAGAATATAGACAAGCTCAGTAGTAGGGGTTTAGGCTAGTTTAGACAAGTGCGACGCCACAACTTCATTTTTGCAACTGAGGCGTAAAGTACATGAGAGAGCAATTGACTTTAGCGTCGAAACTCGCAATATTTTCGTCGTATTTTCAAGGGCGAAGGTAGGCAATAAATCGAAAATTGATGTAGGAATTGACAGATTATTTCTAAAATTGAGTTTTTTTTAAGCTCAGACCTTTACATTGCCATCAGGGAAGGATAATATTTCTCGAGATTGAAAAAATATTCGTTGACTTTACATTTATCACAGGCAAATTCCATAGCACCACACAAAAATTATAAATGGTGCAATTTTCTCTTTCCTTTCACGTGAAGCAGCACATTCAACACTTTCCTTCATAAAAAGAAGCAAATCATTGCCAAAAGCTACCCCTTGTAATAGCTAAAGACACAAAAATCCTGTATTCCTAGCATTATCGACAGTACAGAGCAATATAGGGCACCGTACCGATTCGATAATAAATCGTGATAAAATCACGTCAACTGCAACTGTGTTTAAACTGCGATTGCAGGTGCCGTGAATTCATAGAGATTCATTTTTGACGGTATTCAAATATTTCCGAGGAACCAAGTTGCGACTGGAGCGTTATCTCAGTTGAGCAATATTTGCATCCTTGATTGATGGGTAACATATAAGAAGAGACATAAACAAAAACACACGTAAATCACCGAGAGAAGGTTAGAAATTTTAAATTCAGGAACTTACTTAAAGTGTAGCCGAATTCATCCTCTTGCTCTGGATCTGCTTCTATTTCTTCTTTTGTTCTTTTTACGTTACCAGCACTGGAACGCATAATCTGTAGGGAAAGTGAATGAATAAGAAACCGCGTTTTGAAACATAAATCAGGGTGATTTGTTGGAACATCAGCTACAGTACACAATAAACTGCGAAGCATGTCGCATGAAGTAAAAATACTTAAATTTGGACCGCGGCTATTGGCATAAAGGAACCAAGCCACATCAGATACTGCCAAATCTAACGCGGCAATTTAATTTTTTTACAAGAAAACGTTTGCGCAAATTTCTTTGAAAATTTTAAGGGATTCGCTTCGTTCTAATTCGGTACCATGCAGAGAATTCACTGAGTTTAGCACAAAAATCCGCACAACCGTTTTCGTATGCAAAAAATTAAATTGCCCAATTAAATGGCAATAGCTGATGTGGCTTGGTTTCCTTCTGCTTAACGCGGTTCATTAATGGAGAGGCAAAATGGTGGAATTTATGGTGAAATTGATGTTATTGGGTGAAATTGCAAAATTCTTTAAAATTTTTCGTAGCACTCTGTAACTCGGGATGGCAAGCAAGGGACGGACGGGGGGTTGGAAGTGGTGAGGAGGGTGGGGGTGGATTTTTGGGCTGGAGTTGAGGTCCAGAAAAGTTGAATGAAGGAGAAACTTTTCCTAGGATGTTTGCACCTGCTAGCGTCCGGCGACGATGTTTTTATGCACTTCTCTACTTTCCTACCCTGCGTTCAAGTCTCCTAACAAATACACGTTCAAAAAAGCGCTAATACTGAAATATTATAATGGTGCACGTCTCCTTATTTAAATTTTAAGTAAAGTGGCGTTGATACGGCGATGTCAATACAAATTTCCAAAACCTCTCAATATAGAAATTGCTTGTTTTTCTTGTTCTTCGACTCTTTCTCATTAGCGAAAGGGTCATTGTCCATTTGAGTCAAGCTACTCATTGAAATAATTGTAATATCACTTTAGGATCAACTAGAGTCCCTTTATACATTATACTGAGAGTAAAGACAGTGCAAATCCATTTCTGATTTGTTCCCGTATTTTAGGCTTTCACGGTGTCACAAACGGGAATAAATATTACATTTTCACCAATTGCAAAGATTATATTCTGGAATGGATCGGGGAATTGGGGGCACGACAAAGAACAAATGGAATGAGAGAGAAAACGGAGACAGGAATTCGGGAATAGTTTGATCAAAGATTACAAAAAATGTCCGATTTGTGTAATCTTTATTCCCGTTTGTGACATCCATTAGCCACCCTGTCTCAACTCTCCGTACAGAAGGACTCTACGATCAACTGCCTTCCTCGGTTAACAAATTATTCTCAAAAGTAATCAAAGTAGAGAAGTGAGAGGATTTTGAGGAAGAAAATGTATTTTGAAGGGTTTCTCCCAATCTCCCACCTCCTCCTCTGTTCCTTCTTCTTCTCCTTCTTTCACGGAGCTTGCGGTACGTAATCGACTAAAAATTTGAAGTCTTAGAAGTCACATATTTTTGAATAAAATGAATCAATGATACTTCATTATTTTGTTTTTTCTTCCTATTACAAACACTATCACGAACGACTTCTACGATGTAACAAAAAAAAACTTGAGTGCAAATCCTCCTCTGGGGGTTGAGCCGCGTGGCGGCCAGGGCGCGTACCCCCCCCCCCCCCCCCCCCCCCNCTCTAGTAAAATATGAAATTGAAATTATCGATGGATGACCTCTTTTGACAGGCGGGGGAAATTGACCGGAGCGTCAACGTATCAGAACAATACCTTCGTCAATGACTTCCGGATTCATGATTTTGTAACAACATTGATTTTGCATAGTTCCACGTAGAAATGAGTTTCTCGAAGACTCTACAACCCTTACTTTTTCTTCAGTTCATCGATAAGCTCATTGGCTCGTTTGCTGTGATTTACGGCTCGCAGGATGTTGGGAGTGGTCTTACTGACACATTGACCGCGTGTTCTATTGAAAAAAAAAAACAAAAAAACAAGGCGTTCCGGGGTCAAACTGCTGGACTACCAAAAGCGCGATGTATAGATCACAATAATAATTTTTTTTTGTATGAAGTTTTTTTCTTCTTCAAAAGTCCTCCTCCTCTCGAAGATACCCCCCTCCCTTAAATTTAGGAAGATCGTATTTCTTAAAATGTTGGACCACCCCATGAGGTAAAGAAAATCCTGACCGAGTGTTTTTACTTATCAAGTTGTATTGGTTCAAGAAATCTAGGAAAAATAACCCCTCAAAAAAGTGTATGAAAAGATTTTGATGGGTTATGACAAGATGTTCAACTGATCTGTATGCATTTTTTATGAGAATGCATCTCATATCCCTGTTTTATGGTAAGTGGTCAATGGAACACTTCGCTACAGATCACTGCGATATCAAAGTTCCTTCATTTTGTTGAGTATGCAATCTGAACTCCGGAGGGTTAAAATAGTTACTCGAAGTCAAAGCAAATTCCCATTCACGTACCCCAAACTAATTTTCCAGAAAGGAGGGCACTTATGTGTCTAAAGATTAATGTGTATTTGTGTGGTTCTAGTCACAGGACAAAAAAACGAACGCGCTCACATGTTCTCGATGACACTTCCAGCATTGTGAATTATCAACCCTCGTGATTTTAGGTCATCAATAACCCCCATGGTTCTTCCTGATTTGACCGAGTACCAACAATCTTACGATTGCTTTCCTAAGAGGTTATAGGACATTTTGTCAACGATTTTTTGTCCGCGCACCTGTTTTTTCCAGTAATTTACGCCCACGCGTTTTTTCGGCACGGGAGTTTTGGTCCACGTGCCAGTTAAGACACAAAGTTAATTGGCCCACATATAAATACAAACGACGATTGCTCACGACGTTTTTGGATGAAAATGTATAATGTCTTGGAAGAATGAGAGTTTGCTTGTTTTTTTGTTTTGTCAGTTTGGTCCAACGGAGTATAATATATAGTTAAGAGTTTTGGTAAAAATGGGGGAGCGTCAATTCCATGAGACAAAATTCACTAAAACTCTCCACACCTCTTTGGTGTAACAGGACTTAATTATCTTTCAAGAAATTCCCACCTTGTTATACCTGAACCGGATAAACCTCTATATTTGCCTCAGCTAAAGGCTCTTAGATTTTTCCTGTGTACGATAACTATCTTGATTTATTTTGTGAGGAATGATCTATACTTTTAAACGATACCTGTCATTCTTAATACGCTCAATTTCGTATAATACTGTGCAACACCTCTGTTGTGAAATAGTTGCTTCAGGCGCCGTCGCTCGGCGGGCGGGCGGCCAGCGCGAACCGCGCATTGGCGCCTACAAACCTAAGTGGATACTTCAAGCATTGTGCAATGCGTGAAGTATCCACTTAGGTTTGTAGGCGCCAGTGAGCCTCTCGCGCTGGCAGCACGCGCCGCTCCGCTCTGTTAAGCTGTAATATTTATACTCGCATAGTCGGCGTTTTTTAACTCATGATTTTGAAATGTTAGCACACTTTGCATTGATTATTCTCATTTAAATTGATGGGAAAAAAATATGTATCGATTTATCAAAGGAGAATAATAATATAATGTGTGTTTTTTAAATATTGGTAGTTCCGTGTCAAACTTAATGATTTCCAAAGCACTTTAATTTTTTCTTTTACATTTTGTGCTTTCATTGTGCTGCAGCGAGGTGTACCTACGCGCAACGAAACGCTCAAAATTTGATGCATTTGACTCTAAAAGATCGATGTACAAATGGGTTAAAACTAAAGATTGCGTGCCTCTTGGTTTTTTCCTCTCTTTCATTCATTTTCGCAGTTTCTGTCGGCACATAACTGCGGCTCATTGAGATTAATGTCACTTGGAAAAGGTTTTACAAATATTTGTCACGTTTCAAAAATATAAATGTTTTCAAAATGAAGTAATAATTTCGTAAAGAAAAAATTAAAAAAATAAAAAAAGTACCTAAACATATATAGGGTATAATGTGCATCGAATATTTTAAGGATAGAAATAAAACCAAATATTCACCAATGAGAATTTAAAAAGATGATTCGAAAGGAGGAAGTAATGACATTTCATTTAGAAAATGAGCAACCATAACAACACCTCCTTCTCTCTCAATTTCTCATTTCCATATTGTCAATATAATTTTACGAACAGACTAAAATATAGCGCTTGGACCAAGTCACTGTTGCTTATTTTACGTGTGGGCATAAACTACTGATTTAAAAAGGTGCGCGGACAAAAAATCGTTGACAAAATGTCCTGAAACCCCCTTGGATGCATTGATGCATCGATGGTAGCTTATTTTCATTATGTGATCCTTAAATTGTGCTGGTCAAAAGAGGAAATTAGAAAAACATCGTTGAACTGACTACGGTGCAAAGAGGTTGTCCATAAATTACGTAAGGCACGTAGGAGGGGGGGTGGGTGTCAAGGGTACCATCGATGAAAACTAGATCATGGGAAAAATCTTTCCTTAGAATACATTTGGACATATTTCTATCAAACGGAACTATATGCATTAAGACATGAGCCCTGCTATCCATACGAATATATGCATATCAGGGCTCACGTCATAATGCACATAGTTCCGTTTAATAGTAGTATGTCCATTTGATGCTTGAAACGGTACCGATTTGTTTCAGGGAGGTTCGACTTACGTAATTATTGGGGGGGGAGTTTAAGGGGTACTTTACGGGAGGAGGAGGGCCCAAAAAAAAAAACCTTCCTTAATTAATGGGCGGCCAAGGGTGAGAAGGATTGCCTTTGCTATCTTTCGATTAGTAAGTAGCTGTGATTACTCTGTCAATATTTTTGTCAATATCTGAAGGTCACGTAAAGTATCTAATGACGTCACTTATCCCTTTCAATCGATATTTAGAGTACGTTTAATATTGATGGAACGTCATTTACGTCAATGACATTAGTCTTTACGTCATTTATAGCTTGCATTGACTGTGTGATGATCTTGAAAAATCGACAAAAATATTCATAGTGAGACCTGAGGGCATGGGCCGTTTATTGAAATTGATAGACAAAGCTATAGACAAAGAAGGCAAAAGGGATATGGAGGGATCCTATTGGTGGAAGAGTGATTACAATAGACAAAGAGGGTAAGTAATAAACTAACCAACAGCAACCCACGACTCCCACGAGGGACCCTATAGTTAGTAGTTAGTCCATGATCATCTCCCTGGCCTATAGAAACAACCAATTTCAACCAATAGGATCGCTTCCAACTTCCTCTGTCTTCCTTTTCTATCGCTTTGTCCATCATCAATTTCAATAATCAGCCTGCAGACCTCTTCAGAAGCCTCGGCGTGATAACTTAATAAATTGAAGTAGTATCGGCCAATATTAATTTTCCTGCGAATATGTAGTCATACTCGCATAAACGTAGCCGAACGCTGAGATTGATCGATGCAGGTGGCGAGCGTTTAATCGATCAATTTAGATAGCAAGGTGCTATTGGTTGATCGACATAGCACATTTTGCTCGGTCAATGAGGATATCAAGGTGTACTTGGTCAATTCGAAGAGTTTGATTAGTTTTTCGAGAATAGTGACATCATCATGAACCCACCTGCTTGAGACTGGTGATACCTGCAAAGACTTTCTGACCAGTGTACATACTTTAAAATTATAAATTGAGAGGTCATTGATCCTTTAAGGAAAGTGTTGCTGCTGATACAGTGACACACTGACAAATTGCCCCCTGCAAGTCACCAGAGGTTATTCACCTTTAGTTCCATCACTAAGTTCATCACTAAGGCTGTTGACCCTAGGCCGAATTTTCAAGTGCATCCCCGCCACACTGATTTGGTTCTTCTGTGAGAATTTTTCTAAGTGACTAAATTTTTTCTATATCTGTCAGAGTGGTTCAGAAAGTCAGAAAAAACAACAAATTTCTTTCAAAATTTGAGCGCCGGAGCTCCGATAGGGGTATTTCTGGAGAAAAGAAATCCTTATTCTAATTCTCCTTGCACTAAAATGCTTTTTCCACCACATGGTCACAAAAAGAAACAAATTAATGGATGGTACCTCTTGTCCGCCTTTGGTGATGAGGCGACCTTCTTGGTCGCGAGTGTCCTCTTCACTGTCCTCGCTATCTGAGGAATATTGTTTCTTGACTGGCGGCGGTTTGGGTTTTGGGGCAGCAGCTGCTGGTTTTTCTGCTGGTTTTGGTGCTTCAACTTTTGATGTTTTGTTGGAGCCATCCTAGAAAAACAAGAAAAAGAGAGGAGACTTGGTCAGTAAGCTGGGACAAGATAACTTGGCACATCTGAATCAATTGAGACCAGACATCACCGAGATATTAAAACTATGTATATAGATGGTTAAAGTGAGAAACCACGTATCTTTATTGCGGTGTTGCAAAATCTCTGCTCCTATTTTACTTTTTTGATAGAGACAAGTCAACTGTATAGTTTAAAATTTCTATGGAATATTTTGCTGATAAAGAGGGAAAATCAAGGAAATTTTCAAGAAATTGAGTTGACAAGTTTTCCAACAAAAAATGAAATGTGACCAGAAGTTTGCAACGTCACAGACGGAGGTACGCGATTTTGTAGTTTAGCCATCAATATTCTGCGTAAATCTATATTGTCCTAAACTTTCGGCCACCTGGAATTGAGAAGACCCACGACATGCAACTACAACCAAAAATCATGATGATGAGGCAACTTTTTTTGGGATATCTGTAAAAGCTTGAGCTAATTCCTGTAAAACTGCTAAGAATGGACGGTTATTATTGCAATCAATGGCTCTTCGCTAATATTGCCATAATAAGGAGGAACACCTTATGGACCTTCAGACGTTGCCAAATTTCCAGTGCTAAAATACGAATTTTCAGGATAAACTGGAGTTATTCTTCCTCCAATTTTTCAGAGAATTTGTAATCAGATCTGATTATTTGCGAATTTCAAGAGAAAATATTCATACTTAGCTCTCCTTAAAAATAAACATCCTATTAGAGGTAATTTGGCAACTCTCAAATGTTCATAAGTCATTGTTCCTAAGCAACACAGAATAGACCACTTAACAGAGTAGGAACAAAAGCACTGCATGCCTCCTCATCAAAAAGCATGCACAGCATGCACAGCATGCCTCCTCATCAAAATTTCGTGCAGAACAAATTGAATACATTGAAAATCTCCAAAATCAACCCATAAGTGAGAAATGCCTTTGCAATTCACAAAAAAAATCGCTCAATTTAAACATCCTGCTTGTGGAACAACCGAAATCAGTTCATCCCAGTAGAGAGAAAACAAGAGGCAATTTTACACGATTACATACAACTAATGAAACCAACCTGCAAAAACTTGAACCGTAATTCCCTCCGACGGAAGTTTAAATTAATTCCATTGGCAGCAGTGTGTATCATACTTCCTTTTTTTGACCTCGCCTCCCAAAATACACTAAATACTGAAGTGTTGGGATAATTGCCCAAAGAGAAGCAAGTAGCAATTTTCTGCCATCGACTACTGTCAGCTTTTTGTTTGCTGAGTTGGTAACGACCAAATTTCATTAAAAAATTTAAAGTATTCAATTGCCAAAAATTTCTTTTGAGCTAGGTTTAAAAAAATGCCCTTCTTCCTCCGACACTTGGGCTTTGTTAGTTTATTAACAAAAATGTATTACACGCAGAAAATGAATTCATAGCAAAGCACACTGGATATAATACAATGCTCAGTTCGGTTCAAGTGTTTAGACTCAAGTGTGGTGGCTGTGTGTGTGTAGGCTTCTCGAGTGTTGTCAAGTATTATGACCTAAGTGTTGACGCATGAGCCAGTAGGCAGGAGGCGGCACATTTGAATCAACAAACATTGAAATAATTTTTAGCGTTATCTCCAGTAAGGGAAATAATGCCTCACTTATGAGATGAATTTGGAAATTTCAAAAGTGTGCAGTTTGCAGAATAATTTCATGAAAAATGATTAATTTCTAACATTGTCAGGTGGTCCATCAGAGCTGATGTGGTTAAATTGATAAGACAAGTAATATTGCTTTTTGCAACGTTCTTGCAACCACTTTTTACCCGGCAAGAACTAACTGATTTACATTACATGCAATAAAAATAAATGGACAAAAATCATTTCATACAATAAAATTTCAGTTAAAGGGTAAAATTTTCATTCTAAGAATCGATGTGAAATGCTGTCAATTATTTTTGATGAGCAGACCCCTTCTCTTCCAAAAAAAAAAATAAAGCTAGTTTGCTTCCCTTGGAAGTTGTAGAGATATGAACATTTACATTATTTTTTAAGCATCCGCAGTGTGAGGACAAGAAACGAATGCTCTAAAAAAATTGTTGCAAATGTCAGTCAAAGTAGGTGCAAAGACAGTTAATTACAAATCGTTGTTTCCTGGACAAAGGAACGTAATTCCATTCCAAAGTTGCAAAATTGACTCAAACAATTCGTTTTTATACAAGAAATCACCTGTGGAATATTTGTTCAAAATTTTCCTGATCTTTGCATGAGGTCAAATGGAAAATCAAAGAAATATTCATTTGAAAATGCCCAGGACTCTCCTGATAAAAATGAAATTTGTGACAGGACATTTGACAACATTGAAATGTAGTTCTCTCTTTTTTTGAGGGGAACAACGAATAGACTTCACACACTTCAGAAAAAATACAGGAGACTTTACAAATAAGATTTTATGAATCGCATTAAACTCAAAATCTCTGAGTGCTTTCATGAGAGAAGTACTAGACACCCTGACACCTCACGTACCTGTAATTGCTCAGAAGAGGGAGACCGAAAATTATTTGTCGTGCTGGCAAAGGGAGCCTGCGGTTCAGTTGGAGTCGGAGGCTGAGGTGCTTTCCTACGAGTTGTGCCGGTATTCTGCGACGATCGAGAATGTCTCTCATCGTTTTCTCCACTCTACAAGACAAAAATTCAAAGAAACAGAGCATTAAAATAAGATGGAGATGTTGTCTGGAAAAAAAGATCCATGCAAAAGGACCATGTTTCAAGGAGAAAATATATGAAGGTTTCATAATCGTAGTCTAACTGTTGAGGATGACCTTGGATTTGAAATTAATTGCTTAATCCCAAGGCCAAAATTTTAAGATCTTCCACGGAATACTTGAAAAATTGCCACTGAAATTGCCTCCACTATAGTTTTCAATTAAAATAAGGACCTTTCAGAGAGATTTTGGGTAAAGGCAGCCCCAAGGTTAGTTTTAAACTTCAATTTAGGTTTTTGTATTTTTCAATGAAATCTGGCCATCAGTGAACCTTGCCATTATTAGGTGTATTGGGGAAGGATTTCTAAAAATTCTTGATATTTTTGACGATGAAAGGTTGCCAACAGTTTTGCTGATCTGATGCTGAATGATCAGGTTGAGTATGGTGCATTTGGAAACCAAAGCCACTTAAATTTCCAGATTTTACAATGCTACCTAATTTGAAGGGTTGGAGGTCTTAAGTTCCTTATTAGGACCATTAAAATTCCAAGATGTTAAGAAACGGTAAAATTTTCGTGAGGAAGGGATATATCTACAAAACTCAAAACTAACATCAAAACTTTCTGGGTAAAGGAATAGAATTTTAAATATTATTAACTGATAAATCTGAGACTGAGGAAAGCATGGTGCTCACTATTCTGTCGATCACCAAAAGGCAACATCTTCATCAATACTGGATAGATAAGGATATTTATAATCTGGACTGCTTATAATATTTTTTTGTCAAACTAGGGGATTCATCGATTGAAACTTGAATCTATGATTGGCTCTGATCTCATACCTCAGAGATACACGGTCACTTACCTATACTATCCCCAAATACGTTACTACTCTGTCATCTGAGTACGGTCCCGATACATTGAGGTATTGTGCTCAATTTTCAAAATTTACCCATGAGCTTTTGAGTTAAATTGTCTGTCTCAAGCTGCTGTATTGAGATTTTTTGTTGAAAAGCCATTGACACAGATTTTCCCCCCTCAACAGTAATAAAATGTTTTTACTTTGAGTAGATGAGAGCAAAAGACTCACCCACTGAACAAGACTTTGAACGAGGAAAGTAACAGTTCTACTGGACGCTCGGATGACTTCAACAGCTCGCTCATGACTAGCATGTCTCAAATCTACACCATCGACCTCCAAAATGCGATCGCCAGTCTGAAAATAAACAAAAGAAAATTTAACGCTCCTCTTTCAAAAGGAATGATACATTGGGCCAATATGCAATTCTTTTACTGACTCAGCATTTACCTGAAAAGAGAAAATTTCAACAACATTCACAGATGATTTACATTGAAATTTAGATTCATTCGTCTGATATAGTGAAAATTTTGTCACCAAACTCAAAGAGGCAACAAGAAGGTTCCAACACAAAATTCCTGGCATAAAATCCAAGAGCAGTTCCATTCATTTTAATATGGCATGTAATTTACTACTCTCTGAAGTCAAGAACATTTTTCCTGCATCAAAAATTATAGATTGGACGTTTTTAAATTTCATTCGCCTTCCATCACTGCTCCAATTTTCATCAAAATTTGGCCCAAAAATAATTCTCACTCTAGAAAATTCCACTATTCTTGAACTGGATTGATACATAACATTAGATTGAATCTCTCCCTGCTCATAACGTACCTGCAGATTGCTCTCTTCCTCAATTCATGATTTGGACCACATTTTACAATTAGGAGTTACGATTTCTGGCTCATTTTAGAGACAACATATGTGCCATAAGTTTCCTTAGGTAGATAGGTGTTTTTGCCTATGGGCCATAAATTGTAGTTCCTTATTGCAAAATGCAGTCAATTGGTTAATGGCCACTTTCATGCAATAAATTTCCAGTAAGCGTGACTCTAACATAAATGACCCACGTTTTGCAATCAGGAACTACAATCTCTGACTAGCTTTGGGAACAATGCATGAGCCATTTTCTTCGCTATGCCCATGCTTGTTTTTACGGATGAGCCAGAAATTACAGTTTCTAATTGCAAAATCAACTCCAACTGTTCTGTGATGATGATATTACATTCATTTTGTCCACCCTATGTGTTACTTTTAGTCTGTATCTAATTTCTTTAAAAGATTTGGAAAAGTGCACATTACCTTCAATTCGCCAGTTCTACCAGCTGGACTGTTGGGGAGGACGTTTTTAATGAATATACCAGAAATTGCTGCGCCGCCATCATTTCGTGCATTAAAAAGATCAACCTGAAAGTAAAATTACAGTAAATATCCCTTTCAAATGTTTCAAAATAAATAACTAGACACAAAATTGGACTGCGTTATACAGAAAGGAACCAAGCCAAATCAGCTACTGCCAAATTTAACCGGGCAATTCAATTTTTTATATGAAAACGGTTGTGCTGATTTTCACGCAAATTTCAGTGAATTTCTTCCATAGTACAAGGCACATTCCTGAAAATTTTCAAAGGAATCTTTGCAAAAGTTCTCTCGTAAAAAATCAAAGTGCCTGCTTAAATTTGGCAATAGCTATTGTGGCTTGGTTCCTTTCTGCTAAACACGGTCCTGATGAGAATTGAGAGATTTTTGACAAAAAAAATTTGGGCAAGTTCTGAATTGAGAATTTCCGTTTTTGTTTCCTCCAATTCTACCTTTTTCCGTCAATCTTAACTCATAATTATTCATGAACAGCATATTTGCATGGTAGCAAGTGAAAATACTTGAATTCAACACAAAAGAAAGCGAGTCTTGGGGTTCCAAAATTGATTTGAATATTTGATGATTCAATTAATTGAAAATTACAGTTTTTGAGGAAATGTTAATTTTTTCAATTGTTATCAAGAAGACACACACCCAACACACTTTGGAGGATGTGAGAGGTTGGGGTTCAGATAATGCTTGTTCGCAAGAACTATGTAAAAAGTAAGGTGAAGAGCTTGCCTCACCCAGTAAAGCGCACTTTCTCAGCGAACCGTGAGGCCGATCGATTTTTAATTTTTAAAGCATATTAAAAAGCTGAGAGAGTGCCAGACGCAGTCCTTTTAAACTGCATATATTGGATTGCATTTTGCAAAAAGGAGCCAGGAACATTGCAATGTTGCTAAGATAGTGCAACCTATTTTGTCTTGGAAGAAAAACCTGATTATGGGTAAATAGTATTTTACTCGCTAAAACTGTCAATTTAGGACAAAAATTACCATGTTTTCACGTTATTTCAGAATTTCAATACTTGTATTGCAAAGGATGGAGTTGCACGATTACAGCAACATTGCAATGCTCCTAGTTCCTTTTAGCAAAATGCAAATGCAAATTTTTAAACGCCGAAAACGAGATACGTGATCTAGTAGTTTCACCATCGATATGCAACTTATTATTTACCATTAAAAAAAAAGTTCCACATTAAGAAGTCAAGTTTAAATTTTTTCACACAACTTGAAAAAATTGCTCTCCCAAAATATGAAAGTCCATACAGTACGGTCTATTTTCTGTTGACAGTTACGATCCTCATTTTTTTTCATTAATTGATTAATCAGGAAAAAGGTGAATTTTTTTTTGTAAATTGTTCTCTTGTGTACGGCAGCAAAATGTACCCAGGATTCACTGGCAAAAAGGATTACGCCAGTGTCACACTTTCATATAACTTGAAGAAGATTGCTTAAAGCCATTTAGATTATACATAAGAGCTTCATTGTATCATTCAAAGATAAGCAAAAACCATGGACCTATTCTCATGGAGGCAAGGTTTCTAACTTAAATCTGTTTTCTCTGAATTTTTCTTGAAATTTCACGAGGATAGAAGAATTAGATTTCAGCAGGCAGCCAAAACTTTAGAATTTTGCCTACTTCTAGGCCAAAAAAAAAAAAAAAAAAAAGAATCTATGAGAAACTAAAATTCCAGAGTATACCTTCTGGATTTCCTTTCCTCGAGCTTTTTTGGGCCAAATGAAATTTCTACTTGTCAACACATGTTGAGAAGTCAATGGAAGTTAAGTGGCAGAAAAACAAAACTTCAGATAAAAAAAGAAAGTGTACTCACCTTGCCTCCAACAATGCTGATACCTAAACTAGAATTAGGTTCCCTGACAACTTTGACAGTTTTCTCAGGGCCCCAATTCTTGGCAAGAAGGACGGATGAGGATTGCGGGGACACAGTCATGATCTCTTCTTCCTCAAGTTCAACACCTGTGCTGGCAAACCGATGCAGTTTTGAGATTCTGCTTCCCCTACTCGAACTATTCGATAAAAAACCGCTAGATTCAAGGTCTACGCTCCCTAGTCTTGGCACAGAATTATTTAAATGTTTAAGTAACAAATTAGTTTTAGCTTTCGGCTCACTCTGCGGGCCTTTGGCTAGAGAAAGAGTTTCCGAACTCTCGTCTCCACTAAAATTTAAATCGTCTCCAATAGAACTTAACCGACTAGAAATCTCGCCATGAATGGTTTCATCTTCCACTTCCGCACTGGATTTCAGATCGGAGGTGAGGACCTCATCCTGAATTGAGCACTTAACTGTTGAGTCATCAACGTTCGATGGCTCCTCGATTAAACTGAGGATTGATGGGGCTCGCTCACGTACAGAGCAGGAGTCGGACCGAACCCGTTCTTCCGCCTCGAGATTTGAAACAGTTTCACTGCTAAAGTCTACGTCATCACAGCCTACGGCTTCGTTTTCATCACTAACAAATGGCACAAGGGTTAAATCTAGATTAGACGCGGTATCTTTGTTTATCGTTTCATCACTTAGAAATGGCACATGGGTTTCGTTAAGTATTGATTCAGTTTCATTGATTAAAGTTTCAAGTTTATCACAGCTGTCTGTCACATCCGGAGAGACTCTTCTTTCCACACAAGTTACTGGTGAAGAGTCAGTTTGAATATCGACGCATGGGAGGTCCGCTTCCTTTAGATTTGATGGTGCTTCAATGCCATGGTCGACATGGGCTAGTTTCTCGGCACATATCACAGTCACAATGCTATCTTGAAAAGAGGCAGGTTGATCCGGGATGCTGGGATCTTCCTGGCGTATGTAAGGTGAACTGTAAATACAAATAAAAAAAAAATATTAGCAAAATTCTTTCTTCCGAGGATGGTATACACAGCAACGACTCATCACGTTCCTGGATAGAAATCTTTCCTTGAACTACGTTGGGTGGGGGTTTGTTGGAAGGAAATGAATTGGCAAAACCGCCAAATTAGAAGGAATGATTGACATTCCGAAAGTTTTCGCAACCCTAAAGGAGGATAGATTAGGATAAAGATGTAAGCCAATGCCTTCAAGATGTCTGTGGTGCTAACAATATATTGAAATAGATGGTTTCTCAAATTATTTAGCATGGTAAAGTGGTGCTAATTATATAATCATTGAAATAGGTGGTTTTTCAGACTATTTAGCATAGCAAAGTGGTGCTAATTATATAATTAAAATCAATGGACTCTCAAATTATTTAGCATAGCAAAATAACCACTTTGGGATCAAAGATATCAATTTTCAGTTTTCTTGAGCTCTCTACCATTTTTAAAAGAATTGAGCTAAAATTTCAAGTCATATTTTGCATTATAGGTAATATTAGTTGCGTTTGAAACTTAATTTCTTCAAAACCTAGCATGTTGGTGGATTTTAAATGTATTTTTCTTGCAATTCATCATTCTTTAACTTCAAAGCGGTTCTCAATAGATCAATTTTGTTTAATTTTTTAGTGTATTTTTTCCACCAAGTGATACAGTTTTATACCCGTTTACTCTATCATATGATTACCTCAATTATTTAATTTTGTTTACCACTAGGCCCTTATTACCCGACTTTGTAACACAAGGTAATGAACACTAACGTTACTAGTACAAAAATTAATTAAAAGAGAAAGACATGAGCGTGTTGTCTGTAAGTGTCTTCCAATAATACATAAAAAGGCACTGAGAAATAGAGAGTCTGAAATTTTGAAAATATTTTTTGCACATTGAAAAGTTGAAAGTAGGAAAAGCAAGAAATAAAAAACCAAGAGTAAAACAAAATACCTAACTAAAAATAAGACAAGGAAAGAGTATCTATCATAAAATACTTCTTGTGATGATTTCTGATAAGAAAAAAACACAAAGAAAGTATTCAAATGATGAAATGATAAAAAAGATAAAAGAAGAGAAAAACAGGCAAAATTTAAAAGGAGAAGAGTATTACTAAATGCTTCTTCTTGATGACAAAATAGAAGACAGAATTAATTGCATCCCTAAACTCATGCCTCAAAAAATTCATTTTTCGGGACTTGTTCATAATCTTTTAAGACTCATTGGGAAAATTATCACTGGTTACTCGGTTGAAACCTTTAACTTCCTTTTTTCAACCTGTTCCGACTTTTAACCAATAGACTAAGGTCCCAAAAGCAGGGAAAGAAGCTCTCACAGCCACAACAGCTGGAACTAATGAGAAATTTGTTTCTAGCATCCTGAACAGAAATCTGAGAGAGCACTGAATTCAGAGAGTATCGTTTTCTCAGATATGAAAATGCAAGGGCATGCTGCATGCTCCTGGGATCAGATTTTTAGTAGACTTATAAAGGAGAATGAAAGGGTCAAGCCCTTAGAAATCCAATTTCAAAGAAAGAGGCTCCAATGCAATTTAAAAAAAAAAACCCCTCCTTGCACCCCATAAAACGACATACCTTCGTCACAGACTTTTTGCCATACTTTATTTTTTCCTTGGAAAATGGTCAATGTAATTTCTCGAAAACATCCTTGGTTTTCCTCCTCTCTTGATGGAATATTCTGTATGAATTTCGAGCCATGAAGATGAATTTTTTCATTTCAAAGAAATAAAATAGGAGTGAAATTTTTGAAACATCGCAATAAGAGTACATGGTTTTGCACTTTGGCCATGGACTTATTTTTCAAAATTGGTTTCACTGATTCACAGGTCACGCCACTTTTCCTTCACCCACTTCAAAATGTTGGATGTTAATAAGGCAAGGTCATTTAAGTACATATCTTGTAAAATGCAACAGTTTTGAAGATGTTATGAAAAATATTAAAAATTCCAGTGGACCAAATACAGAAAAACTTCCGTTTTTCAGATACCTGAAAGTATGTTAGTGATGATTCTTTTAATAAAACATGTTCATCTTTGTCGATTACTGATATTTTTCAAAAATAGGCTTATTTTACAAAAACCCCTCGTTAATAGGGTGGCTAGGGAAATATTTTGTTAGAGGCCTGTATGCTCTTCTTTCCAAGGCGAAGAAAAACTGTAAAAGGTGACGATTGGAGTTAAATTGTACATTAGCAAAATATGCATGAGAATAGGAGAGCAAACGCCCTACTTCAACAAAAGCAGTGACTGCAGAGAAAAGCAATGATAAAGATCAAAATATACCAACTCACCGATAGTACTCAGGAAAGATCCTACGTAAAGCAAAGAGAATAGGGAAAAAGAGAAAGAAAAAATAGCTCAATTGCATGGAAATCAAAGATCGATAAAGCTGTGAGTTGGCTACAGGCGAGAAGAAAAGAGAGGTTTCTACTAGATTGTAGAGAGAGAAAAAGCTGAAAGTGCCTGTCAATTTTCAGAGGTATGCAAATTTGTGACAGCAAAGCCAAGAACTTATCTTCATGCACATATTTTTTCAGAAGGAAGAGAGGGCACTTATCTAAACTTGGAAAGTTAGAAATTTTCACTCAAATTCTAACACGACTTCAGCAAAGTCTCAGCTAAAAATATGGTCAATATTAAAATAATGTGCTTCATAATTTTTTATAGGAGTGAGTACGTAGTTGCTAATGCGTTAATTTTTCAGAGTTCATCAGCATTTATTTTAAGGACTGGGTAGTTACTTTATCGCTTCCTTCCAAAAAAAAAAAAAAAAAAAAAATNAAAAAAAAAAAAAAAAAAAAAATTACAAGTGCCTTTCATAAAAAAATTGAGTTTTCAACGATTAAATACTCATTAAACTCGATGAAAGCAATCATTAAATATGTGGAAATTATAATGTTGGACCCTAGGAAAGAGCATATCGTCACAAATACCGTATTTGGCAACATCAGTATGCATATCAGGCCTTCCTTAGAGCAAGTCTTAATGCTGGCAAAATTAAAAAAAAGACTACTTCACCAGTAACAGTTTCACACGATAAAGACGCAAAAAATTCATTCAGGTAAAGGTGGTTAGAGAAAGCATTTGAAAGTATTACATTCATTCAACGGCGTAAGCCCGCAATCACATATCTCGCTTGCATTGTCTGAAAATCTCCGCCTCCAACTTATTTCTTTTTTACATAATTCCTTGAGGTTTTTGCAGAATTTTCTTCGCACAGAAAAGAAAAATCACGGCAGTTTTAAAGAATTGCCATTCAGTAGTTTTCCGTTTAAAAAATAAAGTAAGACAGGAAGTTTGCGATGTCGCAAACCGAGTTATGTGATTGCCGACTTGCACCATCTAAGTGTCATTAATCAATTTAAACTGGCTAAAAGAAGAGTAAAGGATTGGTATCGTTGCTGACAATCTAAAGGATACGTTAAAAACGCGACTAATTCCTATGCACTGTGGTGTTTCTGGGTTGCTAATATGTAGTTCTTGTGTTGTTCGTGAAAGAATCGCTTGCTTCAAAAACTATCCAACTCTAATGCAACGTTTCAGTTCTTCCTTACATATTGTCTTAAATATAAATAAAAGAAAAATAAGTAAGATGTTTATTAAAGTATTTCTAAATATTTTTCTTCAGAGATACTATATGAAATTTTGGAACATTTTCATCAAACATATTGACTGATATTATGTAAGAAAATAAAATTTGAAAGGAAACACTGAAGCTTTGCGATAGAATTGTGAAGTTTTGGAATCAATCAATTCGATTAAACTGATTAAGATTAAAAAAAAATCGGGAATTCAGAGTATTAACAAAGGATTCGAGAACGTATTTGTTTATTCTTGTTGGACCCTTATGTAGACACACTGTGACTAAGCATAGAAATGTTGATGTCTAGATTATAATTAAGAGACCAAATTAGTCACTTGTAAGTCTTCCGTGATTAAAAGAGAGTGGAATTGATCAGCTGTAAGACCTGATAGAAACTTTTTGCAGGGGCTGTCCTTGAATTATGTAATGCTAAATTAATTGGAAAAATTAATTAGACACCCCCTTCACCTCCTTGTAATGCTTCATAATGCTATGCGAGACAAAAATCAGCGGTACTACTATGTCAGGATTTGAAAAAAAAAGAAAAAAAAGCAAACTGATAGTATAGGATAGGATTTATTTTGCAAATTGATCAGATTGATGTATCACAAGACAAATTAAAAGAATTCCAGATAATACGAGAACAGGCACATGAGAGTTCTCCACTGAAACACTAATCAAAATTGGATGTGACTAAAGTTTTATCAGATTATACATATCAGTTTTACCTGACCCTTATAGCTCTATTGACAAATAAAAGGAGGTTTAAATTTGCAATACATATGTTCAATAGAGTAAAGATAGACCAAAAGTTGGGTACTTTGCAGCCATCCAAGTTTAGGTTCAGGGAAAAGAACGTTTTTTGGCTAAATTTCATAAAAAAAAGTCAAAATTGAAGATAATGGCTCTACACAGCATTATATTATTCATGAGGGGGAAAAGGGTGTTGAAATATGGATTCATGTCCAAAAGGGGGTGGGAAAGGACTGTCAAGAAACGGTAGGAGTTTTGAATTCTTGAACACTTAATTGAAATGTATGAAATTGCGGCATATAAAAATAAAAGTTCGAGCTGCAGTCACATTATATAGAGCGCCAATTTAGTGATTTGTAAAGGCGTGCCAAGTTACGGGTTAAGTTATGGAATATTTGTATTGTTGAATACATCTACAAAGCAATTAAGTATAGGCTTCATTCATTTGTGTCTTCCCTTAGAAAAAGAAGATGGAAAATTAGGGAAAGAGATAAGAAGCGGAAAAGCCAGTGAAAGAGTACCAAATATGTTTTTACCTGGGTGAAACTTTTGCTAGGACCTTTGTTTCTACTTTTTCATTTTGTACGGATCGAAGGTACAGACGTGCTTTCCGATGACTTATGAATCGCAGACTGGAAGCAAATAAAAACGTTCCCCAGGGTTAGTACAGGAAATTCAAAAGAGGCTAAAGAGCTACGAAAAAAGGTGCATCAACAATGCCTCGGTACGGATACCCCCCTTAAACATTTTTACAGGGCACATTTGCTTACAGAATGCACAAAATCACTTGCGCCATTTTAAAAAGAAAATAATAAAGGAATATATTCTTTACAGAGGGCCTACTTACTCTTCAGCAGTGGTATGATTTCAGCCACATATTAGGATGGAGACAAAAGTTGTTTAAAGAGGGCAAAATTTTCTCTGAGAGGAGGGGAGGTTGAGCTTCAGGGCATGTATTAAAAGGAGATTAATGCCTTGAAATAGGCCTTAATATCCTGGAGTGAAAATATTCTAACTGCAGAGGTGAGAGGGGGGGGGAAGACGATCAGACATCTTGCCCGATCATGCCCCTGCACTTTAAATGATGCTTAAAGAAACGCGAGTTTAATTTTGCCATTCAATGCTCTCTTAAGCTAAGTAATTCAACAGGGAGATCAAAACCAATTTTGGTCCAAAGACTACCATCGGCTTTAAGTACAGTCAGCCTCTTGACCTCCTATCATTCAGCTTTATTGCAACAATAGCTTTTAAGAAGAATTGTAAAGTAGCAGTAAACACATGCACACTGGGGAAAATGTAGTTATTTTCAATACAGGGTGCTAGAACGAAATCACTCAATAAAAAAAAAAAAAAATAAAAAACTTAGAACAGAGTGTGATGAGCTATGGTTTAATTTTTCAGGGTCATTTTCTACTCAATATAACAACTGAAACGAGTTTTTGGGGCTAAATTTATAAAGCATAGTACCTGATTGTCCAAAGAGCAAGATAATTAACACCATCATGATTTCGAGAACTTGTGATTGAATAACAGTTTGAAAATGATCAAAATAATAATGAACATGAGAATTGAAAATTAAAAATCGGCACTTAGGTTTCACGTCCAGGAACTCATAATCTCAAAACGAACATAGCACTTAGTTAAAAGAACACAAGAGGATTTCGAGGGTTGAAAACTCAAAGAACTAATCAGATTTGAGATATCACTCAGCAACCATCACCATACCGATCAGAAGAGCGTTCATTGCCAATAGGGATTCGACCATTAGGTAAGAAAAAAATTCCTGACAAAACACTCAGAGCCGCGATCATCACTGACACTTCTCAACTCCATTTCCAGGCATGAGTGTAAAGGCGCACTATAAGGGTATAAAAATTAAACCGACGAGAACACCCGCAAAACGATATTTAAAACTTAAAAATTGTTGCACGTAATACAATCTACCTCAGACCGAAACTGATAAAACGCACTGAGGACAGATTGAGCGCTGTGGGAACTGAGTGTATAGGGAGGACAGGGGAAAAACAGAGAGGAGTGAAGAACTGCCATGGACGAAAACAAGGGAGAATAATCCACTTTGCAAACTATATAAGAGGATTCAACATGTTCTCAACTTGTAAGGATACCCATTACCTAGGTTTCTGCACTTTTTTATGACAAGGACAGAAATTCATTGAATTCATTTCCAATTCACCTGCCTCCCTTTTATTAAGTGTAAAATAACTTCAATTAGTGCATAATTTGTATTGCATCCCTCACACTTTCTGTATGCATTATAGATTTCTGAGCCTTCCACAAGACTCAGGGCTCATTGAACTCTTGTAAGCTACCCCTCCCTCCCCTTTCAGTCTGTCTCTTCATTTCCCCATTCAATATCCTTAATCCTCTCTCCTCATGAAACACTAATCTCAGTTGCTCTAGTAATTTTACGGATAATCTCGTAAAAAAAAAGAAAACATGGCCTAGGTCACAAAACTTTGTGGAGATAATTAGAGAGTAGGTGGAAGGCTAATCTGGGTGGACAAAAAACTGACTCAGCATGAAAAGCTTTTTTGGCAAGACAGTTGTAAGAGAAAAGGTAAGTTTCCAATTCAAACCACTCAATTTTCTTGAAAGTTTTTCACTATCATGGCTGTGATTCTTGGGTATTAGAGAATTCTTGCGATTAAAATCTTGTGAAACATTATTGTTTTCTTTAATATTCTTTAAAAATTTTTAATTAAAGAATATACCGTTTTTCACAAATAGAAAACCATATAAAACAGAATAATGTTGTTGGTTTCATATTTTTTCGTATTTAGGGAAGGTATTTTAAATGTGAGCTTTCATGGGAGAAATTTGATTAGTTTTGATCGACTTAAGGACATTTACGGAGATTTTTTGGGAATCACATCTTGAAGGAAATTTTGCCTTTTCTCAAAACTTTTGCTCTCCATTCCTGTATGATTTGGCTGAAAGGACACCCTTGATTCTTTAGACTAACGTAGGGTATGGAGTATGACTCCCAGTAATAATATTAAAAATTCTAATATTGATTTCTAGGCAAATATTTAATGTGAATGAAACGGCAAGAAAGTAGGTATTCACATTGAGGGGGCGGATTTAGCATGAAAAAATGTTCATTGGATACTCTTTAGGCAATAGTAGCAAAACTTCAATTCTCAGATTTTAGCACTAACCAACTAATGTTTTTCTTTCCAGTCCAGTCACTTATTTGCTCAAGATTCCTTCAGAACTTTCTGCTGGAATTCGTGGCCCTCATAGGAAGTGTTGTCATGTTAACATATTCTTAAAAGCAGTGTTTCAAAATTTCTACTCCTATTTCATATTTTTAAAAGTACACAGGCAATTTTTATTACTTAATATTTCCTGAGGATATTCTTCAAACAAATACGAAAATTTTGGGGGAGTTTCAAGAAACCGTATTACATAGTTTTTCAACAGAGAAAGAGTGTAATAAAAAGTGTCGCAAAACAAGACAAGTACATTGTTCCTGATTTTAAAAATGCACGTTCTGGTTCTTGCTGGTACCATGATTTGGACAACTTATTGGTGGCGTATACATAAAAAGTTGATTCTACATTAACGTTCCTATTATATTAATGAATACCTATTCCTCTCATGATTGCAATAACATTGTTGTAACAATAGTGATTTTCTTACTTCTATGAAGGTTAGACAAATAAGAGGTTGGGTCATTAGGCTGACTTATAAAAATTTACTCCTGGCTCAAAACTTCGGAAGTGCGATTGATTTTTTAAGTTTATTATTTTTCTTAATGAAAATTAAACCCCGAATGTTGATTTAGCGACTTTGAATTGATACAGCCAGAAATAGCAAAAATGCATTAAATGTTACCTGATTACCTCCTATGCTTTATTTTTAACAGACGACATAGCAAAATTTAGCCTTGAAATTATGTCACTGCTCTCTTTATATTTTGGAAGAAATTCAAGGAAAGAGGGTTGAAGGTTTTATTTTCCTCCGGTTTTACTTTTAAAAACGGAGACATGAGAGAAAATTGGACAGGGTGAAATGCGGTTTGACTGATTCCGTTTGAAGTCCTTCATCAAGAAAGATGAGGGCAGATGAGCCCCCGATTCTTAAATATTCTCAACTTAATCTTAATAATGATAATAGCTAAAGAATAGTTTCAATAACTCTCTTATCCATCATTCAGATGCTAGAGAAAGGAGCAGCATTAGGAAACAATGGATATTCAAATTATAGCTTCATTTTTGGAACGCATAAGATTTTAGAACGAAGTTTATTCAAACAATTGGTTAAAGCTGGTTAGTTTGATGGGAATAGATTTTAAGTCAAGAGTTCAATACTGAGAGGAGGAACCCTAGGAAGGGTGCATTGCTTCACACTCAAACATCCTCCTCTGTGAAGACCTTTCAACTCAGCAGGATCATAGAATTAAAACTGAGTAGAAAATCGTGGTGGGTAACTTTGAGACTAGAAATATTCCCTAGGAAGTAGAAATTAATTGACAGGAAAGAACCAGGAAAATACGGCATGGGCCGAAGAACTGCGATCAAGGACGCGGAATAAATTGGCAAACGCTTTGAGAGAGAATAATGATAACTGTGACCTGAAAAAAGAACGGACCGAATCTAAATAAACAGAGGATCAGGGTTGCCACATTTCAGTGAATTCTTGAGTAATTTGTATACAGGGTGTTCCAGAGTTAGCGTTAAGATATTTAAAGGGGTAATTTTGAAGGTCAAAATAGGACAAGTTTGACCTTCAAACATGAACAAAAAGTCAAAACCTTCAAATAAACACGGCTGCTAAATTGCAAAAATAGGATATTTCTTGAATTATGAGCCCCCTTTGGATGGATTTTCCTAACTTTTAGCATTCTTGAGCAGTTACAGATGCTGGCTCAAAAAAAGTACCAGAGGAAATTGTAAGATGAGAGTTTTACAGGGGAGGGGAAGGGAGAAAGGGGATTCAACCTTTCAGACACAAAAATACTTAAATCCTCACCATACCCAACCTCCAAATACTCAATCAATAATTTTCTAGGTAAAATTCGAAAATGTTATCAATATTATTGGAGGGTGCTAAATTGTGTACTTTTTTGGGCAACTTCGCACTCTATAGCTTGGAGCAGTCTACTGTTGGGCTCATCTTCAAAGGACAAAGAAGTCTTAGTTTCACCTCTGAAATCCCCTTTGAAATTCTAGACACTAACCTTGGAACACTCTGTACAGAGGGAGAAGAGTTAGCTGGGAGAAATGGGAAAGCAACAAGGCAACGATGGAGAGGATACAGAGAAGCCAAACAAGTAGCACATGCTACACATTTTAATGCAATTGAAGGATGAGAGGCAACTTGAGAGCTAATATCTGACTGCACAAACCAGTGAATCAATATAATGTTTCACTTTGCCTAACTGGGTTGTCCTCACTGACTTTAATCAACCCTCCTAATAAAATCACTCACTCAAGTAGTTAAGATCAACCCTGGTGACTTTCCTTACCCGTCTATTTGCATTGGCAAACTTTTCGGGAAGTCAGTGACAGACTTGATAAAAAATCAATGACCTTGATGCTGGTCACTTTGCAGGGTTTCCATAATTTCTTCATTATCAAATTCCCTGACCTTTTCATGAGGTTTTTTGACATTTTAGTTGGCTATAAATGAAAGTTACAATAATTGGAATATGAACCAAAATTACACTCTCTTCCAACGCAAAAATTAACTGAATTGTTTGTGGCTTATTTTTCACAATCCTAGAAGGTGTTGTCTATTGAAAACTTAAATTAGGATTATGTAACTTGGCGTGATGAAAGTGTTTCTCCTGAGGGTATAAGCCTCCATGCACTAGAGTTCCTCTTTCCATGGACAGTTGCACAAGTGGACCACATTTTGCAATTAGAAACTACAATTTCTGGCTCATTTTGGAGTCAATATATGTACCATTAGTTTCTCTATGCAGATGGGTATTTTTTTCTTAAAGTCAGAAATTGTGGTTACAAAATGAAGTCCAAGTTTTAGTCAAGGTGAATACTTACTAGATAGGAGTGAGTAATAGCTCTGCCCGTTGGATGATTAATCTAGCTTGAGCGTTCGTTATGTGCCTCAAATTCTCATTGTTTAGAGAAACTAAAAAATCATTCGGTACTATGCGATTGTCTCGAGCAAAATCCCCGTCACTGCTGATGTTTTTCACCAACATGCCGTTGGAGCCGTCCCCAACAAACTCCAAGGTGACTCCTAGGATATAACAAGCATACAGTTAAACAAGAAAGCTCATAATGAAAGAAAGGTATTTATGAAAATAAGGGGTAGTCAAGTAGATTCTAAAATAAGGGTTAGACCGGGAGGAATGCGATTCACTGAAAATATTTACTCAAACTCTCTCCGCTCTTGACAAGGTGGAAAAGTGCATAAGCAAAAGAAATTTTCAAAATTAATCTACAAAGTATTAACTGTTGAGGTTTAGGTAGGAAAAGTATTCCTCAAAAAGTTTTTGCAGCTAGACTACTTTCAAAAATTAGATTGGAAAATGAAAGTTCAACATTCATCAAACCCCAATCAAACTTAAGCACATTTGAGGGGCTCGGAGAACTAGGCACATGCGTGCAGTTTTTGAAAAAATTGGCATATTCATGAACTCAACTAATACTAGATTGAAAGTATATTTTGTGAAAAACACGACTATGATCCAACTTTAACATATCGCAAAGTGAGTTTGAACTTCCTTTCCGCCATAAGGCTCCATGTAATTTTGAAACTTAAAACATGTATTTCTTGAAATTGCAAAAACTGCACTTATGCGCCTTGCTCTCCAAGCCCTTCATTTGAATTCAATGAATCCATAAGGTAAGACTTTCATTTGAACACAAACAGTGGTGAGAAAAGCCTTGAATAATGATGAAAAACTCACAATTTCAGGGATCAAAACTCATAAGATGAGTTAAATTATGTATATAAAGTATATAAATTAGAACAACTTTGATGGATTCTACTTCATTCACTTCTTACTTCACTTCATTTCTACTTTAAAAGTCATTTTGAAAATTTTTCATCAGATACTTTGGTTAAACGATTTTTTGAAAAAGTAAAAATATTTTTAGTTTCTTATTAATTGCGATTTTTTTTTTTTTTTTTTTTTTTTTTGGTCTTACATCAGTAAAAGCAGTTGCTTGAATTTAAAAACATTTTGATGCTAACGTTTTTACCATAACTGTTTTGTTCGTGAATGTTACATGAATGGTACATAGAGAAATCTCATGACTGGTGCATTTCTGTTCTGTATTTTTGTTCTTTTATCTATTTATTTTATTTTATTTTTAAGTATAGAAGTCAAAATGTTACAGTCATTGCTGATGGCAAAAGAAGAAGTTTACTGATATGGAAGAATTTAAAAAACGAAAACTTCTTGGAATATGAAATAAATCCTGCAAAAAAAAATTACCAAAACTAGGGCAATGTCTCTCCATCTGAATTTCTTCTTCTAGAGGAGTGGGTAGAGTTAGGTACCCAAGACCAGGAGGCTCCTCTTCAAAATCCACTGATTCATTTTCAGGCACCACTTCAGGTATCACTTCAGGTATCACTCCAGGTACCACTTTAGGTACCACTTCAGGTACCACTTCAGGTACCACTTCAGGTACCACTTCAGGTACCACTTCAGGAACCACTTCAGGAGAGACCGATCCAGATATCCTGTCTGGTGACTCTGATTCTGGCAACTTTTCTTCACACACGACATCAACATCTTCCTTCACTGGTTCATCGATGGACCTCCCTTTGAATTTTCCCTCCTCGATTGACTCCTCCTTCGGGGACTCCAATGTGTCCTTGTGATACTCAATTTCGTTTTCAACCTTCAGATACAAGGGATACAAACAAAACTTACTGAGTTTAGATTGACGTGGGTGAGTAGGTATAGGATTAAAGACCATGCGGCAAATATTAGCAATCATATTATTTTGAAGAGAAAAGAGCCAACTTCATGGCTTGAAATGTACACAATCACAGAGTATTCTGCTGACAGAAAAGAAAAATCGAGGAAGTGCTCAAGCAATTAACGTTGACTAATTTTCCAAGGAAAAATAGAGTATGACAGGAGGCTCTGAACGTTGCAAACAGAGATACGTGGTTCAGCGGTTTTGTACTTTGACCATAAATATGAAACAAAAATCGACAGAATTTGGTGTAGCTACAAGATTATTGTTTTTTATCATTATTTTCTTAGTATTATAGGTTTAACAACTTGAAGTGTTAAGAAAGCCATTTTTTGAGAGCCGTTATTGAGAAAACAGCAGCTATAAAGTGAATTTTTCAAAACTTTAGTACCTACCTATTTTCGTAGAGAGAAATTATTTTACAGTTACAATTATGTAATAAAGGCAAGAATACAATATTAGAAGGTGCACACCTTTTGTTTTGTGTCTATAGTAAGAAAGAAAAAATTTCAATTGATCACTGATCCAATGGCGTACTTGGCAAAATTTCTACCAAAAATCATTGATGAAACATCAGCTTCAATTTTGTTAAAATTTGGATATACTGAGTTCTACTTGAAAGTTTGATGAGTAAGGAAAGTGGTAACGAACACTACGAAGTTAGAGATTTGATTAAAGAACACAGAATTCTTTAAATTTTTGTTCCATTTTCTTCAAGGCAGGGCTCATATTATTTTAAATGATTCAAGAAAAAGATCATTCTGATGATTCTGAGGGAATTCAATCAGGGTTTTTAGAGACGTCACCTGTGTGTGTAGTTTTTTTTTTTTTGGGGGGGGGAGGGGTTTGAGCAACGAGTCAATGAACAGCTTTTCTTGTTGAATACATTTCTTGAACAGGGAGGATGAAAAACTTTAATTTCATTTAAACATTGCGAAGTTTCACCTACCAACTTATTTCTTCATTCACCTGCAGCAGGTGTGGGCTTCGAATTGTAAATTTCGATTTTTTTAATTTTTTTTTTTTTGTAAAATTACCAAGGAAATTAGCAAAAAAAACAAAAAATTGAAAGAAAACTTGCATCTGCAATTCACCTAAAGTGAACAAATAAATTGTCAGGTGAGACTTGGCAATATTGCAGTGTAATTAAGGCCTTCTGGCTCTGGGCCCTTTGAATGAACTTACGAATTGATTTTTGATTTGTTCTTCTAAGTCGGAGGGAAGGGATCCTTCACAGCTGTACATGGAGTGGTCATCCAAAGTTGGAGTTGCATCATCGTCACCCTGAAACAAAAAAATTCCACTTCTCTTACAGCTGTGGTAGTGTAAAACCAGAGATTTGCACCAGGACTTATACTTCTGGGAACAGGAAAAGGAAAGATCTCTCAGCAAGGTTCGAGTGGGGCCGTTTAATACTTATAAGGTTTCAGATGCTTTTTGCTCGCAACAATTTCTGAGAGGGTGAATTTTTTGTGAGATAAGTAGACAAGTCTATTTTGTGGAAACTTAGACTCCGTGAAAAAAAATTAATTACGTGGTAAGGCAACCAGAATAATAAAGTATTTTATATTTTGGACTGAAGCAGAATACTTATCCATAAAAATTGCAACGGATTGCAATTGAATTATCTTTTAATAACAAGGAATAAAAAAAAAAAAAAGATTAATGGCTGAACCAAAGACCAAATGACTTAATCCAGGGTTTCCAAAATTGCATAATTTGTAGAAATTTTATTTACAGACATTTTCAAGACAGTGACTGCTGTTATTCTTACTACGCTGGAGGAAGGAACATGTTTGTCAGTTAAACATTTTTAGCCGGTAGCATGATGTAATCTAAAACTGCTGGCCAGATACAAGGGATAAAAAATTCATTGCACTTGAAAGTTTTACAGCTTTTCAAACTTTTTCAAACCATATTTAATCGGCATGGTTACACAATTTTCTGGCCTGCAGCACCTAGTTTTTTCCACGAATCTTTGAAAATTTGCTACGAGTGACATGCTGTTCACAAGATGATGAGCGACTGAATTAGACCACTGTCTCTGAATATCCCTCTGTGCATTTTGCTCCCATCTGAGGTAAAGAGGATCTACCAAACCAACTCAATAATTTGGGACAGTAATTGCTTTGGAAAATTAAAAAGTATACTTACCTTTACACTGTAGAGATGAAATGATTTTCAACATTTTTGGTAAACCGTTGAAGGAATATCACAAGACACAGTCATGTGATAACTCATGCATAGCCCATTATCCTCAGCCAAATTGGAAGAGGAATAAACAAGTCATGGGTAGAGGATTCTGAACGCTTCAACACATTATGTGTTGAAGGGAAAATCTGCTTCCTGACTAAACGTTGTAAAATCTGCTGTTTCTCACTCACTTTTAGGAGGTAAATTTTAAATTATGTTTCAAATGTAGAGTGACATTTGAGGAAAGGAATAAAAAAAATCAGTGAAAAATCAGCCGTACTTGGAAATGTTAAGAGGAAATGAAAACAATTGTTGATGACTTAAAAAAATGGCTGAATATCGAGAAGTACCTGAATTCAATTCAATGGTAGGCAGGGGGAGTCTTGGGTAACATTTTACTTCATGTTATAGAAGTGAACGCTGACAAGAAGGAGGGAGGTAGTTGAAAAATTGAAAATTTGGCCCTCATTACCTTAAGTATCCTTCCTAGCGGGTAGATTATCATCTACTTCAAGAACAAGCCGTACATGTTAATGTGGATAAGTGAACCTTTCTTGCTGATTGGCCAACTTAGACGATGGGGTTAAGTGTTGTTCATTCATTGAAGTAAAAGGATGCTTAATATGAATGTTGAGACATCAACAAATTATTAGATATTTAAAACTACTTGCATCACTGCTTTGCATTGGCTCGGAGTCTTTTTTATCGAGTATGAGTGAATTAGACAACTAAATTTGAAGCCAATTTTCCATGACTCTGTTCATTATAAAAGTTCGGCACAGAACAACTGTACCTGATATGGATGAAAGCCCTTCATTATGGATGGGTTTGATGCACTATGCATTAATAACTGAAAATTTGCATTCAAAACAGCTTAATAAAGAAAACACACTGTATTCTGAACTGCCACACTTAAAACTTGAGAATCATTTTCTTCAATGGCGAAAATGAGTCAGCTGTGAGTGTCGTAGAATTGTGTTTCAGTGTTTGAATCTTAGAGGAGCAAAAAGGGAAAAATTTATTAAAACATCGAGTGTCAGTGTGCGATATAATGAACCTAATACCTGTATCTACATACATGATTACAACACAGGTACCTCAGGATTGTCTTTCTGATTATTTTGAAACACTTTTTTTGCTTAATGGTAAAATTAGGAGGACTCTTCAACTCAATTACTACTTCTACTTCAATCATTAAAGTTAGAAAATTTAGCTGCTGCCATGTGTGTCTGAAGTAGGAGCAAAGAAACTCAAGGGATAAACATTTCAAGCATAAATACTCAGATTTGAAGCTGAAACATGTAAGATTATTATTGAAAAATCGGACTACATTTTACAAATAGGGACTTCGATTTCTGGCTCAGTTTAGAAACAGCACATTTACCATTAGTTTCCCTAGGTACGTAAGTTTTTTTTACATGAGAGTTAGAAAAAGTAGTTTCTAATTGCAAAATGTAGTTCAGTTGACAAACACCGAAATTTCTGATGATCTGTAAGTTTCAATCATCGAAACATATGAGACGCACATCTGACTCACTGCTATCGAATGTTCAACTAAAGAACTGCCTAATTACGAAGCAAAAGAAATTTTGCAAGAAACTTTTAACATCCATTACACCTGGTTTAAGATTTAAAAACACAGGGACTGAAAACTGTGAGTAAGATTTGCATTAATTGGTAGGCTGACGCAAGAAAGAGTTAGTAAGATAAAAATTCAAGGGCATTCAAAATGAAATATCCGGACATGTCTATTTTAAAATTATATCCATTCGTTATTCGACATGCATTTAGAGAGGGGAGGAGCGAGTGCACACTACGAAATAGGTAAACAAGAATAAAGAGGAAAAACTTCAAACACAAAGCACAATCCGTATGCAACATTGCCTAAAATTCCCGGGGATTTCCCGCAGGACATGGGGACAAAATAACAGAGACCGTATCGGGATGCAAGGCTCCACTAAAACAAACTAATGACAAGGAAATGAGCTGAGCACAGATAGTCAATTCTCCGTGACACTGAAGAGGATCCAACGTCAGGTAGAAATAAATAAAAGTACTTCATTAATTTGATGGCTGATCATGAAAAAAGTCAAAAAGGATCGTTGATAAGACTTTTGAGAAAAAAAATCAATGGTAAAACTGGCAGAAAAATCAATTTAAATTGAATCGAATACAAATAAAAACAAAATGATGTGGAGGTATTTAATGGTTGATAAAAACACCATCTTAGATATAATTTTGATACATCTTTTAAAGAAAGCTTCCTTAACTTCAATGTTCAAATTTAAGTCTTAATATTTTAATAAAAAAAAAAGGAATGGAGAACGTAACAGTTTAGGAGGTTTAATTGGACCATTTTACAGACACAGGGTCAATAGTGCCAAAAACCTCAATTTTAAATTTATATTTTAGAGAAATTTTTCAATGTCAGGTTTTGGTGACAAAATAAAAACACTGCAATGTCTTTTATCACCCTTGTTTTCTTTCTTTTTCTCCTTGTTTTTCAATTTTTTGGGACACTGATGATGAGATGTAGTGGCTCACTTGGAAAAAAACGTAAATTGCTTTGTAAGAAAGTCTCGATCAGTTAACTTTAAAACCTCTTGCAATTGTTAGAGTTGGAAAGATTAGGGATTCAGAACAGAAGAAAAGTAAGAGCAACATTGAGACTTTTTGAGACACAACTGCAGTCTATCCAACATTTCGAAGAATCATGACTAATGGATAAATAAATAGATGAAATATGATACTTGCTAATCTATACGGTAATTAAGTATTATTGAGAGAGCCTTGATGTTTTCTTAATTTCAGAACGGGCGATTTTGGCAATGAGACAAACCGGTACTGTACTGTGTGTTTCAATTTTTATTCCTCCTTCCAGGAAGATTTTGAATAAAAACCCAGAATATAATTAATACAATTCTTTATTCAATTGTATATCCTTAATATAATCGGAATAAATAATTATCGAAATACAGTGTTCCCAAAACAATAAATACCAGCGAAATGCACCGAAATATTAAAACTAATGCTAAATAAAAATACTGTGATACAATCCAGTTCAGGAATTAAGCTCAGATGAAAAAGATGAGGGCATGAACAATTATTGGTTTGCTGATAAAAAGTGATAAATTCTCTATTAAAAATTATAACTAATACTTTGGTAGAACAGCATGATAGAGGCAATTGAAATTTGGAGTGGGCGATAAGGAAAATATAAATGAATAATAGAAAGGTGTAGACAAAATCATCTGGTAAAAATTACTGCAACGTTGTTCCAGAAATTGGGAGGAAAAATCATTGCAGGCATTTGCTAGAATAATTAGACTTTCCACACTGACAGATGTGAGAAGATTTAACATTTGCATTCGGATTCGCTTTTGTGTAGAAGTATTGAAACTGTAAAAAGTACTCTGGAATAATAACAAAGTGACGGAAGGATACTGGCCATTCATTTATGCCAATTTTTCAATGCTCGAAAGATCAAAAGTAGTAGATGGTTAACACTAACAACTACAAAGATCAAAACACATTTTTTCTCAATAACTATTGTTTAGTTGCATAGGCGACATCCAAAGTTAAAAAGACGTCAATTTAAAACAAACGGCCAACAGGTGAATGATTTATTGGGCACTTAATCAAATTCAAGGGTTAAAAAAGGTACAGGGTAGCAAGAGAGTTCATATAGTGCAAATTCCTTTTTATTTTCATGATGTAAAAAGGTGTTTTGCAAAAGGAATCAAGACACACTTGGTTCTTGCCTGCTAAAACTGAGTCAAAATACGGTTTCCAAGTCTTTGAAGGTGAATTAGATTGAAAAAGAGGCATATAGTTTTTCCTCTGATACTTTTACTTCTGATTCAGCGTGTGAATACTGCAACCTTGGTAAATCAGGGATGGATAGGAGCACCGTTATTTCAGCGATCTTAAAGTAAGAGTATAGACTGCTGGGATCCAGAAAATAGTGATTCATAGTTCAGATTGTGTTTATCGGTTTATTTGTTTTTGTCTTTATTTACATACGGTCACATGCATTATTTAGCACATTGTAGAATGTTACTGTGGAATATTGTTCCTCTGCACAATAAAAG